GCGGCTCGATTCCTGGGGGCGGGGCTTGCAGCAAGCCCGCCCCCAGGAATCGGGCCCCGCTCTTGCTAAAGCCGGCCCTGGTTATACAGATAGAATAGGCAATAGTGGATTAACTATTGTTTTATAACTTGGTTTTAGTTTATATTAAGTGCAACAGCTGTGTTAAAGTCCTGTCCTAGACATTTAGGAAGTGGTTGTTGGGTTGGTGGTTTTTTAAACTTTTGACTGATCAATTCCCATCAGTGATTGGTTTGCTCTCTGCCTGCAAAAGAACTGCTTTCAGTTTTGTATTTAGTCATGTTACGTGTTATATTAAGAATATAAGAATGTCCATACTGGATTAGACCAATGGTCTGTCTAGCCCAGCATCCTGTCTTCTGACAGTGGCCAATGCAGGGTGCTTTAGAGAGAATGAACAGAACAGGCAATTGAGTGACCATTCCCAGCTTCTGGCAATCAGAGGCTAGGGACACCCAGAACACAGGGTTGCATCCCTGACCATCTGGGCTAATGGCCATTGATGGATCTATTCTCCATGAAATTATCCAGTTCTTTTTTGAACATCATTATAGTTTTGGCCTTCACAATATCCGCTGGCAACGAGTTTAACAGGTTGACTGTGCATTGTGTGAAGTACTTCTTTTTTGTTTGTTTTAAACCTGCTGCCTCTTAATTTCATTGGGTGATCCCTGGTTCTTGTGTTATGTGAAGTAGTAAGTATAGACCTCTGTTATATCCCCTTTTACTGATCTCTTTTCCAAACTGAAAAGTCAGTCTTTTTAATCTCTCGTCATACGAAAGATGTTCCATACCCTTAATCATTTTTGTTGTCCTTCTCTGTACGTTTTCCAATTCCAATATATCTTTCTTGAGATGGGGCAATCAGAACTGCAGGCAGTATTTAAGGTGTGGCCATATCACGGATTTATATAGTGGCATTATATTTTCTCTTATTTTCTGTCCCTTCCCTAATGGTTCCTAACATTGTTAGTGCTTTTTTTTGACTGCCGCGGCACATTGAACAGATGTTTTCAGAGAACTATTCAAAATGACTCCAAGATCTCTTTCTTGAGTGGTAACAGATAATTTAGATCCCATCATTGTGTATGTGTAGTTGTGATTATGTTTTCCAACATGTATTGCTTTGCATTTAACAACACAGAATTTCATCTGCCATTTTATTGCCTAGTCCACCCAGTTTTGTGAGATCCCTTTGTAACTCTTCGCAGTCTGCTTTGGACTTAACTATCATGAGTAGGGCTACAATTTAATCACGGGTATTTTGAGCAAAAGTCACGGACAGGTTACAGGCAAGGAAAAAAACCCATAGCCCATACTTATACCATAAATACCCGATTGAACCTTTGGGGGAAACCCGGGAGGTCCGCAGCACTAGCTGCGGGGGGGAGGGGGGGGGGGGAAGGTGGAGAAGCTCCGGGGTCCCGCTGCCACTTTGGCCAGTGCAGAGGAGGGGAGGCCCGGGGGGCCAGCTGCTGCTCTGGCCGCCCCAGGACCGCTGACAGGAGCCACCGAGCTGCGGCTGATCCCACTGCCCATGGGATCACTTCTCAGGTGACCTCCAGGGCCAGCTGCACTGGCCGCTGTTCAGGCGTTCCCCAGAGCTAGCTGCCAGGGACCACCAGAGCACCGGCAAGTGCAGCTGGCCCTAGGTTGCTCCAGCAGCGCCTGGTGCGGCTGGCTGCAGGGCCACCCGAGTGGCTGGCTGCAGAGCAACTCCAACAGCGGCCAGTGTGGCTGTCCCCAGGGCCACCTGAGCAGCTGGTCCTGGGGCTTCTGGGGAATCCGTGACTTTCGCGACCTCCGTGACAAACATGGAGCCCTAATCATGAGTAATTTTGTATCGTCTGCAAATTTTGCCACCTCAGTTTATCCGTTTTTCCAGATCATTTATTAGTATGTTGAACCGCACTTGTTCCAGTATAGATCCTCGGGGACACCACTATTTACCTCTTTCCATTATGAAAGCTGACCATTTATTCCTACCCTGGTTTCCTGTCTTTTAACCAGTTACAGATCCATGAGGATAGACCTTCCCTCTTATCCTATGACTGCTTACTTTGCTTAAGAGCCTTTGGTGAGAGACTTTGTCAAAGTCTGAAAGTCAAGTACACTATATCCACTGGATCTCTTTTGTCCACATGTTTGACGACTCCCTCAAAGAATTCTAATAGATTGGTGAGGCATGATTTCCCTTTACTAAAGCTGTGTTGACTCTTCCCCAACAAATTGTGTTCATTTGCGTGTCAGATAATTCTGTTTCCTACTACAGTTTCAACCAATTTGCCTGACAATGAAGTTAGGCTTCCTGGCCTATAACTGCCAGGCTTTCCTCTGGATCCTTTTTTAAACATTGGTGTCACATTAGCTACCCTTAAGTCATCTGGTACAGAAGCGGATTTAAATAATAGGTTACATACCACAGTTGGTAGTTCTGCAATTTTATATTTGAATTCCTTCAGAACACTTTGGCGAATACCATCTGGGGCTGGTGACTTATTACTGTTTAATTTATCAATTTGTTCAAAATCCTCCTCTACTGACATTTCAATCTGGGACAGTTCCTCAGATTTGTCATCTAAAAAAAATGGCTCAGGTATGGGAATCTCCCTCACATCCTCTGCAGTGAAGACTGATGCAAATAATTCATTTAACTTCTCCACAGTTCTTGAGTGCTCCTGTAGTACCTCAATCATTGAGTGGCCCGACTGATTGTTTGGCAGGCTTCCTACTGCTGATGTACTTAGATTTTTTGCTGTTAGAATCTGAGTCTCCATTCTCTTCCTAGACATTATGGTTCTTCTTCACAAGTTATTATTTTGAGTACTAATAATGTTGATGCTGATTTTTCCCCTTTCATTGTGAATGATTCACAACCACTTTGCTTCCATAGTGAGTTATTTATTTCATAAAAAAAATGAACTGCCACTCTTCCCACCCCACCCCCAACAGCTAGTTCATTTTTAAGATTTGCAAGTTTTCATGACTTTTCACATTCATTTATAATCTGTTTGTATTTCATTGTCCAAAAAGTGTTTACTTTTGATATGTCTCCTATTCCCTCCAAAAACACCAATGCCTATGACACCACCCCCCCCAAGTCCACGATCAGGATGTGGAAGAGGCTTTATGAATCACAAAATATCTATCAACTGAGACAAGCTTTGACATATGCGCATATAATGCAGTTTGCTACGAATATGAAATACTGAAGAAAGTAAGGGCTTGTCTAGTCAGGGAAGTTAGTGTGAAGTAAGTAGGGTGTAAATTTAAAGTGCGATAGCTATTCCATACTAACTTCTCTGTGTGGAACATCTTGTTCTGCACTAAGGGACTGTCTACACTGTGACGCTGTCGACAAAACTTTTGTCTTTCACGGGTATTTTAAAAAGCCCCCCTGCAAAAGACAAAAGTTTTGCCAACACAAGTGGCAGTGTGAACGCGGCTTTGTCGGCAGGAGTGCTCTCCTGCCAACAAAGCTACTGCCGCTCACAGGGCTGGAAGTATTGTCGGCAAAAGTGCCGACAAAATACCAATAGAAAGCATTCACACGCGCTGACTTTTAGCGACAAGGCTGTGTCGACACAACCTTGCCACTAAAAGCTGCATAGTGTAGACAAGCCCTCAGAGTGCCTTTTTTTGTTGATTAGTTTAATTTGCTTTCTAAGCAGTAACTATTCTGTACTAGTTACTACGGGCTTCCTCCACTCCCCAAGGCTATACTTTTTAAGGCAACAGATGTGTAAGCATCAAGAGCTGAAAAGCCTACAATCTCAAGAGGCCTTGGGGGATATTCAGAGGACAACTGTATCAGAAAGCCAACCCACTATAATGACTTCCTAGTTTTGGAAAACAAGTTAACTAATGAAAATTCAGAGATAAGAAACTGCACCCTGCCAATGTAAACAAACCACACTGATACTGAGGTCAGTAACACAAGTGACTTGAACTACTTGCAAAGAGTAGTTAACAGTCACTGCACAGTCTGTACAGTCAACATCACCCTAAAATTAACGACATAATAGATTACTGTTCTAAGCAAACAGGGTGAAAAGTGCAGCAAGTCTTCCTATTACAGCTCTGAAAAACAAGGTATGCTCAGGAGGATCTGTTACTTTCCTGCCACCAGTAAATGTGTTAGATACAGTATTTTATTGAACTATTGCAAGCAAATAATGCAAGTTATGAATCAGCAATAAAAAGATCAGTCATTAAAAATGCTGTATTTTAATATTGAGAACATGAGACACAGCACTAGTAACAGGATATAATTAACTAAACAATGTACTCAGCAATGTACTCTTCAAACACCACAAAACACTTACGTATTCTTCTTCAGTTTCCTGTACGAAGAAAGCCTCTCCATTGTCACCCAGCTTCATATGAAGATCAACTGTGTCTCCATTAATTTCTATATCAATCTGTGGGAGCAAAGACAGTTTAATGTAGAGTATCTTCCACACAGCAAAACACACAAATATTTACCTTAAGACTGATTCCTCTCTGATTATTTTTATATGATGCCTGCATTCCACTTTATGATCACCACTCCAACTCCAGGCTTCTCCCAAGAAGACTGTCATACCTCCTGCTTTGTGCTCTCCTACCCCACAAAAGAAATCAGTGCTTTTTTAGGAAGCAGATTGAGGTTTGAAATTTGAAAATGTAGAAAAACATCCAAAAATATGTAATAAATTTCAATTGATATTCTATTGTTTAACAGTGCAATTAAAACTACAATCACAATTAATTTTTTTAATCGCGATTAATTTTTGAGTTAATCGCCTGAGTTAACTGCAATTAGATTTTAAGTAGGACTGTCGATTTATCTTTCTGTAGTTAAGTTTATTTTAACCTTTTATCCTTACGAGTGAGTTTATCTGAAGTTCTTGGGGAATCTGCTCAGACTACAAAGGATGGTGCATATCCACTATCCTTTGACAGTGTCGAACTAATTAATGAGCTTGCGCTGTTCAAGAGAGGGTCTTGAGCAGTGTAAGATGGTACATTTCTGGGGTGCAAGGCTGTGGGGGTGGGATTTGCTGGTGTCTCCCCCTATATATTTCATGAATGGCTTTGAGAGCATTCATGCAACTTAGCTGGGTATGTCCCTGGACATTGTTGGCTGAGTGATCGCAGCACTTGGAGGGGTTTGCTCCTTGTCACTAGCACAGCATTGAGAGAGACAGCCCAGATGGAAGAGTTAAGGGGGCACAACGGTCCCACAGCTCCAGATTGCACCCTAGGAGTGTGTCACTGATATAAAATTACTCAAGGAAGTTAATTCCAACACTGACAAAGTTACAAAGGAATCTCACAAAACTGTCAATAAAATGGCAGATGAAATTCAATGTTGATTAAGTACAAAATACAGCAGAAGATAGTTACGAACACCTCAGGAATGGAAAAAGCAACAGAGGGTCCTGTGGCACCTTTAAGACTAATAGATGTATTGCAGCATAAGCTTTCGTGGGTCTGATGAAGTGGGCATTCACCCACGAAAGCTTATGCTCCAATACATCTGTTAGTCTTAAAGGTGACACAGGACCCTCTGTTGCTTTTTACAGATCCAGACTAACATGGCTACCCCTCTGATTCAGGAATGGAAGTTGTTCATAACTCTGAACAAAATGTTACTTTTTTTCAAAACTGAAAACAGTTATTTTTACACTGACTTAATACAGCTTTGAAACTTTACTATGCAGAAGAAAAATGCTGCTTTTAACCATCTTAATTTAAATGAAACAAGCACAGAAACAGTTTCTTTACCTTGTCAAATCTTTTTTAAATAGTTTACATTTAACACTGTATTGCATTTGCCTTTTTTTTTGGTCTCCGCTGCTGCCTGATTGAATACTCTGGTGTTCGTAACTGAGTTTCCACTGTAACGCATATTAGAAAACAATCCTAACATACATACAAAATGATGGGGTCTAAATTAGTTGTTACCTCTCAAGAAAGATCTTTGAATCATTGTGGATAGCTCTCTGAAAACATCCGCTCAATGTGCAGCGGCAGTGAAAAAAGCTAACAATATCAGGAACCAATAGGAAGGGATGGAAAATAAGATAAAAAAATATCAGAATGCCATTATATGACTCCATGGTACGCCCACACCTTGAACACTGCGTGCAGTTCTGGCTGCCCCATCTCAAAAAAAGAGTGAATTGGAAAAGATACAGAGAAGGTCAACAAAAATAATTAGGAGTGTATAACAGCTTCCAGAGAAGGAGAGATGAAAAACTCTGGGACTGTTCAACTTAGAAAAAGAGACTACAGGGGGATATGATAGAGGTCTATCAAATCATGAATGGTGTCAAGAAAGTGAATAGGGAAGTGTTATTTACTCCTTTAATTAAGTGACCCCCAGTTCTTGTGGTATATAAATTATCAGGCAGCAGGTTTAAAACAAACATAAGGAAGTACTTCTTCACACAACATACAGTCAACCTGTGGAACTCATTGCCAGGAGATGTTGTGAAGGACAAAAAATATAACTGAGTTCAAAAAAGAATTAGGTGAGTTCATGGAGGATAGGTCCATCAATGGCTATTAGCCAGGATGGTAAGGGACACAACCCCACTCTCTGGGTGTCCCTAAACTTCTGATGGCGGATTGGATGCCAGGGGGATGGATCGCTCAATAATTGTCCTGTTCTGTTCATTCCCTCTGAGGCTTCTGGCACTGGCCACTGTCAGAAGACAGGGTACTGGGCAGATGGACCATGGTCTGACCCATATGGCCATTCTTATGTTTTCCAAGAGCCTCTCAGTTTTCCTTCTCCTCCTAGTCCTAAAGATCTCATGTTGCAGTGTCCCTCCTCCCAGCTAAGATGGGGTATACGTTACGACCTCCTAAACTAGTCAATACAGTGACTACAGTTGGCCACAAGAAGTGGTATGAAGCACTTCCTCCTCCAGTGTATCGGAGCCAGTCCCATTTAAACAACAAAAGAAAATATACATTTACTAGTAAAAAGCTGTCATTTGAGCAGGGCTGGCTCTAACTTTTTTGGCGCCCCGCCATAACACCCCCCCCAGCGCCGCACCGCCCAAA